CATTAAATTGGCATTATATTGTTTTTAAAGAGAAAAAATGTATTTTGGCTTTTCTTAAAAAATTTAACCGTGGGTGGCCTTCTCCCTAAGGTTGGCGCTGAGAGAACTTTGACGTCTCAGTTGGCTGAATGTAAGGCAACCGCACCGGTGATGTTCCAATATTTGGTGTGTCTCTACAATCAGCACAGCTCCACAGTCAGTTGGAGGTGTTCTAGGGCTTCTCGAGCCAATTGTTTTGAGAAACAACAGAGAATGTCAAGGCCAGCATAAAAACTCATTAGCCTTTCGGAGATAAAAAAAACTGCTTCAGCGGTTACAGAGCGTCAATTTTATTATTATATATATTATACATATTCTCGCGGAAAAGCCTGCTCATATACCTGCTTAGATTTAAGACACAGCTACAGGCAGCCTTGCCTTCCGTCAATTCTTCCTACTCGGCAAGCAGTGCGAAGCTTCTTTTCCTCAGTCGCATCGCGTATTTAGTCCGAGCTCTGTACACATCATCGCAAAGAGGCATGCCTCGGATTGTTCGAAGTTTACACTCAACTCGCATTAGCCAAATGATTGGTAATACATGCGTAAGGTCACGAGTTCCAAACAAAATTTTCAAAAAAGAAAATTTAAATAAGAAAAAGGATTTAAATTAATTTTTCTAAATTCCGGCGCCTCGCGGCAGAAAATCTCAACCCCTATGAAGCTCCTTATGAATAACCCTCAGCCGTTCGGAGGCGGCATAGTATGAACTGTAGGTCCCTTCTCTTCAGCGATTATGGATCGCTTTACGCAGAAGTGATTTTTGGCCGAGCTCCTGCTCCAATTTGTAGTGATCCTTGAAGTTTTTTTCAGCAAATGGATGGATAGAGTATCCTCAGCCATTTCTGAACGGCTGGTGATTTTTATGAGGAGCTTCGATTTTCATATAACAAATATACGCAAACTCATGTTCTCTGCCAAGGCAGGACTCGAACCCTGAACCCTTCCGAATGGCACTATGCAATATTAAACACTCCACTATCGGGACCGCTAATTCATAACAAATAAATTTGGTGTTGCTATAGGACCTTCGATCTAGTGCAAAAAGTTCTTGTGATGTACCAGTACTTTCCCAACCAGTTTTATGTAACACTACAGAGTTTGTATGCGTATTTGTGAGTTTTTGCCATTAGTTAAATATACCCAAAAGCTGTTCCAACCGCAGCTGGTGCATCAATTTACGACTCTAAGTACCATTCATTTTACATACACTTACAAAAACACTTAAAGCTTACGCAAATACACAAAACAAAAACTCATATCCATATTGATATTATATATATGTGTGTATATGCGTATGTGCGTATGTGTGTATTCGTGTAAGAACAACAAAAACTATAAACGAAATTACACACATTTTACTAATAACTCGTAATCTATTTCTGGCGTGAAAGCAAGCAAAAATGCCTGGCAGCAACATGCCAAACGCCAAAACAAAGGAAAAGAGAACACAAGCGAATACACAAACATATTACATTATATATAGTACACACACACACGTACACACACGTACTCATGGGCACTAGCAGAGAAGCACTTGCAAATATTTTCATACAAGTTCTTCAAGTAATATTTATAGAGAGAGAGAGAGAGTTTGGAAATGAAAGATGTGCCCAGTTAAAGTATATTGGTTTGTGTGTGTGTGTGTGTGTGTGTTGGCGGGTTGAAAAATCTATAACATCAGTGTTTTTAGCTTTTGGTTGACATGTGAACATTAATTACAGACGAGTAATGCAAATATTTTGGAAATGGCACTACATACATGCATACATACATATATACAGAAATGTACATACACATATTTCTCAGTGTGCGTGTGTGTGTGTGTGCCTTCGCATTAGCGGTTGCTTTTATGTATGTATGTATGTATGTACTATAAAAATATTTATTTGGCAGTTGCTTGCAACAATTTCTCTTAATCATGTGTAAACAAAAAATTTCCGTTAGCAAATAATTGTATGCAAACTGTATGTATGTAATTCACACAAGTATAAGTACAACATACAGGGTATTTTTTTACGTGCTGAAAAGCTTGGCGGTCACGAACTACCATCTCTATCGGGCTTAGGTTCGTCACTTTTGGCTTACACACCGCTTGGGAGATGAGATTATAGCCCAATAAATCAAAGCTTGCAAGTGAGAAATACCAAGTGAGATCTGGTCACTCTCTACCTGATACTTGCGCCGGCATGACCTAACCGGCCACACCGCTGTCTCTTTGATCGCTGAACTATTGGTATAGTTTTCGCTGCATATATCTCGTACAGTTTCATCGTTTCATGGACTGCGCTTTGTGACTGCCAATGCACAGCGAACCATACATGTTCTCTTGTAAGCACCCAGCACCGACTAATCAGTCGTTGTCATTGCCTAGGCTACCACAGCAGATAACAAGATGGGAGTGTTGAGGAACTTTTTGAGTACCGAGGGGATTTACTCTTCAATTATCAACTCAGTCTAAGGCAGAACCTGTTAGCAAGAGTTGTTCTGATCGGGATTTGAAAGCTGACTTGTAGAGTTTAGTTTTTGTCTGTCGAGAGAGAATTTTCTACATTTCAATTACCAACTCAGTCCAAATCAATACAAGAGTGATTCGTGCTGATGCTGTCTCCAACATAGACGAAATCGTCTACGACTTCAAAGCAAAAGGTGTCAACACTGCTAGTACCAGAGTGCAATGACTTTTTGTTTACTACCAGACCCATATACTTTGCCACCATATCGAGTCTGGCGAAAGCAGAACTGTTTGATGCCAATGATATCGAATCAACAGGAAAAGCAGAAGATTCGGACTTGTCTACTTAGCTCTGCTCTGCATAAAGTTAAGAATGTCAAACAATAGATAATCACTTTCTTTCACTTTCTGCGTCGTTAACTATGTAGCAACGGCTTGCCAAAACATCACCCTTAGGACCGTGACAGGAAATCTGAAGTCGCCTGAGCATCACTTGCACAGTGAAGTATCTACATTAGTTACGAGTTAAGGGACTTTGCTATGCTAGTAATTTCGCTATCGCAGGGAGCACCCCAAAATGCATCTTATAGAGGTTGAATCTCCACCCAGACACATCAGAACGAAAATACTAGGTATAAAAGCTATCATCCAGCAACACGACAACAACCGCTGGACAGGGCACTTACCGCCATTCACCAGGAGTCACTTAACACCTTTAAAAACTCTCTCCCTGTGAATGATGTACTCGGAGTTAAACCACCAACCAGAGCAGACAAAGAGCTCGAGCTGCCTCTAGGGAAACCCGGGGAAATGGCGCAACATAGGTCTGGATATTGTAGCAGGCTAAACTGCTAATTATCCAGACTTGACCCTAACATACCCAATGTATTCCCTACATGTAATGAGTCCCCACTAACAACATCTTTACATGCCCTTAAAACCAACGCATCTAATCCGCTCTTCCTCTGGCTCTCTCTCTCGAAACTTCTCGTTTCCTGGACTAGTTAGATGACCTAGGTGACTTAGACCAACTAGCCTGTCCATGAGTGGGGTAGAGCAAGCACTACAACAGCAACAGCAACTTTATATGCGGCTTGTGGTATTTCGTGCTCTTAAGGGCAGCCTTAAAAACGATAAAAGTTGATTATTTTCGAAATCTATATCCCGACAAATAAGATTCAAGTTGCCCTTTTCATATACATCGATTGACAATTCAGTTTTTGTCATCTCTGTGTGGTGCACAGAATACTGGAGAATTGTTTTTTTTTTATAAACACAGTTGGACAACGGTCACCCGGTTGCTTCTTCGGTTCCTACAAAAGTATGCTTCAGTCTTGGAACCTGCTATAAATTGCTCCATTTTAGAATTTCACAGATTTTTTCAGCCTCTAGGCGAGCTTACCACGCTCCTCATAGTCAAACATTTCGAACTCTCGTCTGCAAATACAACTCACTTCGCTGGTGAAGATGCTACCAAAGGAGCGGCAGATTGACGGCTACCCAAAGTGATCTCTGCAAGACAGACCAACATTTACTCAGACAGCTAAGTAGCTCTAGAATTACTTATGTGGTGACCACATATATTGTAGTGGTATTTATTTCTACTCTCCATATCCCCAGTTTGCTTTGAAGCGAAACTCATAATGTGAACCGCCATACACACCACTAAGAGGTGCTGGTCTGTTAAGATGTGGTCGAGCTATAGATATTGATAAGTTTTAAAACAGATCAGCGAATGCGTGCGTGCTATGCCCAAAGTGGCTCACGAAAGTTCAGGTTCTCAGACAGCACAGAAAAGAAGTAAACCTGTCATTGTGGTAGATTCTTAGGGTCATCTACCTCAACCTCAACCTCAACCCAGCCGATCTATTTGCTTAATGACGTAAGCACTGCTGAATTGCTTATAGCACTTAGGAAAAGAAATAGGTGAGCTCTTGTATAAAGTTTGCCTCGAAAGTGGTTTAAGAAATCTCAGTCTTGCGCTTTGATTTACCGTTCCTGGATGCATTTTTCCTAAATTGTTTCCCTGTTATACTTGCCTGAGTGCTCTGAATGATGTGAAGGGTTAAGATTTTTATTGCAAAACTTTACGAGAAACAATTTCGTGAGAGACTTTAAACCGTCAGGTCCCAACAGGGTAGTTTTGACCCTTACTTTGGGGTTTCCCTAAAAAAAAAGAAAGAAAGAATTTCTACAGGCCGCCAGTAAAGTAAAAGAAGCTGATGACGAGAGAGGATTCAATTTTCATAGAAAATGATTCTTACACAAATTTTACCAGAAATCTTCATGGGCAAAATCTTCATGCGAAGAGCTTTGAAGACCAGCTTGAAGACCATAGAAAATAATAATAATTACCAATGGAAAAAGGAAATGCGCTCGAACTTATCACTTCCCATAGCTGAACACCCTTTACTTCTAACATTGAATACAATTAATTGCTTAAACTACAAACTTATTATATACGTGTGTGTATGTATGGCATTAGTAATGGAGAAATCGACCAACATACCCATCTATCAGCGGCGATTCCCGCAGCACATGTTTCGCACGCTGTAAACGATAATCCAGATCACTCGCCAGACGCGTCTGTTCCGGCATCGCCAACATGAGTGGTAAATATATGAAAATCAAGAAACTGAAGCCACACAACATGAAACAACCGTCAAGTAGCTGCTTCAGAAAGTTCATTGCCTTGTGATAGATAGACAATTTTTGACTATGCGAAAAACGCTACAAACTCAGCTGACTCGTCTCTGGCGCGTCGCAAGTAGCCACGATGGCGACGATGACGTTGGCGCAAGTTGGTGTTGGAGTTTGCGTTGTCGATGGCGTTTTGGTGGTGAAGGTGATGGCAATGTTGGTTACTTGTTTGGTTGTATAGTTGACTATGTATGTGTGTATGAGTGTGTGTGCAAGCGATATTCATTCACATGCAATCTCTCTTTTGAAGTGCTCTGACGTGTCGGCTGACTATTATTTTGACTGACTCTTCCGGCTGGCTGACTGATGACTTTCACTCACCAACTGACACACTGACTAACTGACTGTGTAACTGAGTAGATGGCAGAGAATGGCAGAATGCTTGGTGGCTCCACAACTTACTTGCACACACACGTGTGCCTATATCGTACGTGTATGTTGTGCCGTACAGTGCGCTTCTGCTATGCTCGTCTGCTCGTCTGCTCGTCTGTTCTGACAGGCTAAGTGACTCGCTATTTTATTGCTTCGGCAGAGCGTTGTTTCTCTTATCTCAATGCATTTCCTTCCTTCCTTCCTTCCGTGCAGCGCAACTTTTATTTTTGCACACTTCTTCGAGTTGCCATTTTATCTGCAAATAAATAAAGCGTAAGTATGTAGCGATGTAAGTCAGAACTTAAGAGTCAAGTACCGGCAAGTAATATGAAATGAAATGGTTTCATTAAAAAGTGAAAAAGGGAATTATCTTTTGAATGTAAAAAGGATAGATTTAATTTCTTTCTTCTTAGTACTTATTGCAAGATAATATTTTACGTACCAAAACTTACTTCTATTGGGTATGTATGTATGTATGCTTGCAGGCTTTTGCTGTTAGAAGTACAATAACTGTGAAAAGGGCAAACGTTTTATGAAAGCACATAAAAAACGGAAAATAAAACAAACATGATTTCTAGAATACTTTCACAAAATCAGTTCAGAATTTTTCATTAAAAAAGTCTTCAGGGAAATCCAGAAAAGTCGAAGTTTATTCTCAGTTTTGGCTGAAGTCTAGCAGGATCCGCCATTATGTAGTTGACTAATGTTGCTGCTTCAGAAAATCATAAGCTCGAGCGCGAGCCATACAAAATTCTATTAAAAAAAAATTGTAAAAACAACCGTGAGCCGTGGAGCGTAAGGCCAGCATTCGAGTCCTGGTTCAACCAACATCTCAAATAATTGAAAATTAATTTTTCTGCAGGTGGCCGCACCTCGGCAGGAATCTTCTAACATGACCTAAAGGCTCCTCATAAAAATCTATCAGTCGCTCGGAAGTGGCTTAATATAAATTCTAGATTACCCCATCTGTTGGAAAAACGTCAAAAATACACCACAAATTGGTGGAGAAGCTCGGCTGAAAAATCACTTCTTTGGTTACAAATTTAAAACTATATATATATATGTATATAAATTTATAAGAAAAACTTGAACAGGAACTTGACTAAGTGAAAAGAAACTTATAAAAACGGTTGGCCTTGGAAAATGTTGGGAAAGGACATAAAATTTATATATAGAATAGAAGCAGTCACGAAGAGCCCATGAAGCTAAGCCTTAAGTCGTTTAAAAGTCGAAAATTTGCTCACTATTTTCTTGGATTATAATGGTGTAGCTCGGAAGGTGCTCTTACCAAGGTATTTGTTTGGAGGGTTTTTTCGAAATCAAGACAATATTTTTTCAGTGCTGGTACTTTTAACAACTTTTACTTGGTTTATACTGCGCTTGTGGTTCCTTTAACCCAAACTATAATAATACATTATATTCTGACAGCCAGGCTGTCCTTAAGTCTCTCCAAAGCAGTCGTACCATCTCAAAGGTTGCAATAAAATGCAGTGGCTTCTAAAACGAACTCTTGACTGCATGCGAAATGTCCGGCTTCGGATCCCTGGCCATAGGGACGAACCAGCGAGAAGGCGAGCAATCTTGATCACGCTTGAGCTTACACATGACGTGTGCAAAGTATCTGCTACTACTAACCTTCACCAAAAGGCCCAACAGCAGATGTCGACGAAACCACGCGCAATGCGCAAGACAAATCTGACTGACGAGGTAAACAGAACTAAATCTCTACTACTCTACTCTCTACTACTAAACCGGACCGCAATAAACATAACAGCCAGCATAATAACCGGAATCTTTATTATGGAGACTCATGGCAGTAGAAGTAACAGAGGTTGTGTTGCTTCGATTGTTCATTCTATCCAGGCTCCTGCAGTCGTTTAAGAAGCTGCTCCTTCTGCCGTAGCTGCAGGAACCTAGATGGAATGATCAGGTTGTGTTCCTCCTCTGTTACTGCCTAGCTTTCAGTGCGATCCGTTATGGCTTTCTCCAAAATTTCTTGTTCGATTGTCTAGCAGAACTTCCATTGGTAGGCAACGCCTAAGTTTCATAAAACACACCAAGTGCATTTAGAAAGGATCATGACCCTCATAGGTATCACAACGGGTCAATAGGTTTAACTGCACTTGATCAGTGTTCGGCATAATCAACAAGCCAATGTTGTGTTGCTATTATATATATATATGTATATATAAATAGCGCTTTGTAACTGCTGAAGCGATTTTCGGCCGAGCTCCTCCTCCAATTTGTGGTTTTGCGTCTTGTTGTATCTCCAACAAATGGAGGGATCTACAGTTTATACTAAGCCGCCTCCGAACGGATGATGGTTTTTTATGAGGAGCCTTTAATTCATGTCAGAAATACACTCGGAGGGGTTGACATTTCCTGCCGAGGGGCGATCGCAATTGGCAAATTTAATTTAATAATTTGTGATGCCATTACACCCTCTAAAAGTCACTGCTTGGTTTGTTCCATGGGCGGAGGAAATAATAAGCTTAATGTTAGTCAGTAGGTAATGCTATATAGTTATGATTAATGGCTTTTTCACTGAAGTGAACGACCTTTATTTCCACCAAGACGACACTACATGCCATGGAGTCAGCTTCGATGGATCAATTTATTGAATGAAACTTTTAGTGGGCGCATTATCACGCATCTTGCGGCCGTGCGTGGCCTCTACGGTGGCAGCATTGAACACCGCTGGACTATTTTTTGTGTACTTATGTGAAGTTGCGTATCTACGCTGATAGGACCGAGTCGATTAACGTCTAGGAAGAGAGCATTCGGCCAATTATTGCCGATCCCAATCGGTCCTCCCGTCTAGAATTGATTGGAGCTAGGTTGGGTTATAATATCAAATGCTTTGCATTTTATTTCTGCTTGTAAACCAGTTGTCTAAAAAACCACCCTTTATATATGAAAATGTATTTGTAAACCTACGATGTGGAAATTATTATTGTCTATTAATAGAGGAAATAAATGGGTTATAAATAAATATTCCTACCCAAGTTAAATTGAATTAAAAACCCATTTTCCAGGTATCCCCGAAGCATTTCTCGACCAAAACTTCTAACAGTTCAACTTTAAAAATCCTTACGCTCAGAATATCTACTTTATTTTTGTTGCTTTCCCTAAAGTAACAACTTTTCGCTGCCCAAAATGCCAAAGCAAATATTTATACAAACTTATTTTTATGCAAACAAAGCCATTTCTGTTACAGTCTTCTATTTTGAAATCTTTTAATGTATTAAAATAAAATAAAGTGTTCCAACGACAATCCGAATATCCTTTAATGGCATATACATAAAACGCTATGCGAGTGTGTGAGTGCTGGCAAATGCTTGCACCGCTGACAGACGATACTGGTGTGTGTGTGTGTGAGTCGTTCACATACATATACATGTACTATGTGTAACCTTATAAAGATATCTCCATATGTGCACACATACATACATACATATGCATGTGTGTGTTTGTATTTGCTCAGACGTATGTGCATATGTCTGTAACAGCTAGGACAACTAGCGCAGTGCAGCAACTGCCATAGTCAGTGTCATTTCGCAGCGCGCGCTGTTTGCTTGTCTTAGCACTCAGAAGTCAACAGCTGACTGGTGGCCTTATGTATGGGACAGTGTGATTGGGCGGAGGTGGGCGAATGAATTTGGCTCACACCCGCCTGCGTTTGATTTTCCAAATTACCAGCAATGAATTTGCGAAAATATGCAACGAAAATACATACAAACATATTTAACTATGTATATGTATATATATATATATATATAAATACATATGTATATATATTTATATACATATGTATATATATATGTACATATTTTACTATGTTAATGCCTGTCTATATGTATACTTCGTCATGCATATTTACTTGACAGCAACTTTGTAAATACAAACATTTGTTTGTTTGTGTGTGTGTATGTGTGTGTGTTTCTATATAAATGTCTCTCAACTACGATAAGCGTAATGGCTTGGGGTAAAGTGCAACAAATGAGAAAAAATTATTTGGGCTGCGTGTGTGTGTATGTGTGTTTCGGTGTAGGTGTATGTGCGTGTGGGTGTTAGGTGGCATAACTGTGGCATTCAGCGTTAGTTGTGTCGGCATACCAACAACAACAACAGAAGGAAAACCAAATTTGACTACATACATATGTATGTATATATGTCTGTATATATGTATATGTATATACCAAGTATGTCCTCTGTGAAAAAGTTTGCCACAACTCGCTTGCGGCAATCTTAATTTCGCCCATTTCCCTATTTCAACTTGACTCGACTGCCTGACTGGCTGGCTGCTTAACTGATTCGTTCTTTGGCTGGTTGGTTGGTTGGTTGGTTGTTCAACTCGCCGACTGTCTGGCTGACTGACTGCTTGCCTATGTAGCAGTTTGCTTTGGTGGCTCCCTAACGCTGCTTGAGCAGCAACGCTTTGTTGGTGAAGCAAAAAAAAAAACCTCTTTTTCGGCGCTTTTAACCGCCTGCTCCGCCTTTCCGCTTGGCATTCAACTAACTGCAGTGTTGGTTGCTATGAGTACTACTTCTCTGACTTTGACTTGGACTCAAAAATTATTTTATATACATACATTTAATACTTTTTTCATCACAACATACATAAACTTTTTTACAATTTTTTTTTTTCTTTTTTGACAAACTTTTTTTGGTTTGTTTTAATTTCCTCATTTTTATTACAACTTATTTACGTGGTTGTTGTTTTTTTTTTGGTTTTTTTTTTTTTTTGAGATTTTTGTTGGTGTCTTCATTTTTATAGCAGAAAAGGCATGCTTTATTTTGTTTGGTTGTCGACAGTAGAAGTTGAGTCTTGCTTGGCAGATAGCGACAGGCAGTGAGTTATCAAGTAGTACTATTTTTGTACGTAACGACAGGGACAACAACAATAAGAGGAGAAATAAAACTAATTTTAAGCATAATGACACACACACAAACACACACAAACACACACACACACACACACCGGCAAATGTAAATAGAAAGAGTAGATATTAAAAGCAATGTTGTCAAAGTCTAACCCAAATTTTTATTTGTAGAAAAATTGCTTTTACTTTTTTCTATCTTTCTTTTCTTACAAATATTTCTTCGATTTTTTTAAAATTTTTTTTTAATATTTTTTTTTTTATATTTTTTTGTCAAATTTGTCTCAATATTTCTTCAAGCTTTAGCTCTGTGTGTACAGACATATACGTGTACATACATATAACTCCAACGCTTACCCTTCATATTGCTCATCAT